GTAAACGAAAATGGTGATTCAGTGCCGAACGAGCTGTATGAAGAGTACGTTGCACAAGACAGTGCATTGGCCTCTTGGCTATTATCCACGATCATCCCTTACTTGTTATCCCAATTTGTTGGAGCGGAGACGACGACGGCGGCCTGGAGCACGGTCTTACAGTTCTTCTCGAACCGGTCTACCACAGTGGTTATCAGTCTCCATTACAAGCTTCAGTCGCTTAGAAAAGGAACTGACAGTATGCACACATACCTTACGCGCATCAAAGAAATCTGTGACGTACTAGACTCGTGCGATAGTCCTATTCCTCAGGCCGAGCATTTTGCCAGTATATTAAAGGGTCTTCCCCGAGAATATCAGCCGTACATTGCGTTTATAACCACTATGAAGGATGCGCTGTCTCTTGACAAGGTTTACTCGACGTTGATAAATGCCGAGACGCAACTTCCTGATTTTGATTCTCAAGAGGACTCTCTTCCGATGAGTGCTCATATGGTTCAGTCTGCTTATGCATTGAAAACTGCTGGTCAGGCCTTTCATGATCATAGTTCTCGGTGAGCAGGGTCCAGTCATACAGGTCGAGGTGGGGGACGTGGTCATGGTTGACCACGTGTGCAATGCTAGTTGTGTGGCAAAAATGGCCATCTGGTTGTTGATTCATGGTACAGATTCGATCAAACCTTCACTGGTCGATCGGTGGATCGAACTGTCGCTTGAGGTGAGTCAGGTTCTGCTAACTACTCCGGCTTTGATGCAGTCTCTGTTGGTCAGGATGATTGTATGTGTTGTCCCAAAGCTCGTGCTGAGGCACAAGTATGTCATTCTTCACAGCCTCAGAATCGTGTTGCTACTTCTACGAGAGATAACTAGGTGGTGGACTCCGGGGCTACACACCATGTGACCTCTGAATAAGCTAAGGTGCTTAATCCAAAGGACCTCTCCGGACCAGGTAAAATTATTGTTGGCAGTGGAGATTTACTTTCTATTCGAGCTATTGGTAACACTACCTTATGCTCTTCTTCTCGAGCTTTGATGTTGAATGATTAGCTTCATGTTCCCAAGATTACTAAAAATCTTCTCTCGATCTCGAAGCTTGCTAGGGACAATGGGATTTTCTTCGAGTTTCATGTGTCTCATTGTTGTGTTCGTGATGAAAGCACTGGTGAAGTATTACTGCAAGAACAGGAGAATGATGGTTTATATATGTTTCAAGTTGATTCCATGAATAATGTAAATGTTTCATTTGAAGCTAATAGTGTTGCTCTTTCACATAGTTTGTATGAGTTGTGGCATAGGCGTCTTGGGCATCCTGCACATGGAACCCTTGGGCAAATATGCAAACTACTTAATGTAAATGTTGAGCAAAATGTTAATGAAACTTGCGTTGCTTGTCATATGGGAAAGAGCCATAAGCTTCCGTTTTCTGATTCTTCTACTGTTTATAACTTGCCCTTCCAACTTGTATTTACGGATTTATGGGGGACATCACCTGTTATTTCTAATGGTTATAGGTATTATGTGAGTTTTGTGGATGCCTGTACGAGACACACCTGGTTATATCTCCTTAAGGACAAGTCTCAAGCTACCTATGCGTTTCAATTATTTCAACAGCTTGTCAAAATGCAGTTTGGTCTATCGATTTTAGCTGTTCAGAGTGACTGGGGTGGCGAATATCGCAGGCTATCTCGAATACGTGCTCACACACGTCAGAACAAAACGGTGTAGTGAAACGTAAACATAGACATGTAGTCTAGTTGGCACTGGTTTTACTCGCACAAGCCTCCATGACAACTAGTTACTGGTCGTACGCAGTAGTCATGGCTGTCCATTTAATCAACCAACTCCCCTCCAGGGTACTAGCTGGGCAGTATCCTTTTGAGTGCCTATTTAAAAAGAAGCCCGATTATGAATCTCTCAGGGTCTTTGGGTGTCGATGATTCCCTCATCTAAGACCGTTCAATGCTCATAAGCTTGACTTTAGATCTCGACCATGTACGTTCTTGGGTATTAGCCCTTAACACAAAGGCTTTATTTATTTAACGCATAATAAGCTGTCATTGTGTCTCGTCATGTAAAGTTCGGTGAGTGGAATTTTCTATTTGCCAAACTAACACGGACAATCAGTCATCATTGTGTTGCCTATGAGTCGGCCTCTTGAAATAGTTATGGATACCAATAAGTTGAATACTGGTGGTGCTCAAGTTTTAGGTATTGCCTAGCTACCTGTAGATGATTCTGGTCACTGTACTACACACTCAGTGTCAGATGCTGAGTTAGATGCTATGGCTGAAGTTCCAGACCTTGGTCAGGGAGGTCTTATGGTTGCTGAGGATGGTCCATCGTTGACTGGTGATAGAACAGAACCTGCAGCTCGTAGTGAACATCTCATGTTGACTCGCATAAGTGTGGCATATTTAAGCCAAAAGTGCTTACTACATTTTTTGATGATATTGTCCCAACCAAGGTTAAAGAAGCTCTTCAATCTGCTGTGTGGACCGAAGCAGTACATGCTGAATATTCATCTTTACTTGAGAATGGCACATGGGTACTTGTTCCCTTACCTGCTGACAGAAATGTGGTGGGGTACAAGTGGCTTTTTAAGCTCAAACGAAACCCTGATAGGTCTGTGCTTCAATACAAAGCTTGCCTAGTCGCAAAAGGGTTCACACAGGTTCCTGGCCTTGACTTCCAAAATACGTTTAGCCCAGTTGTGAAATTTTCGACAGTTTATGTGCTCTTAACCATGGATGTTGCTCGAGGCTGGGTTTTAAGACAAGTAGATATCAACAATGCCTTTTTAAATGGTGATTTGCATGAAGACGTGTATATACAGTAGCCTCCAAGATTTGAACAATATGCCTCTGATAGTACTCTGTTAGTGTGCAAATTGAAAAAGGCGTTTTACGGTCTTCGCCAAGCACCGCGTAATTGGAATGACAAATTTAAAGCTAGTATGTTAGAGCTTGGTTTTGTTGAATCCAAGGTAGACTTGTCACTCTTTGTTAGGCTTTAAGATGATTGCAGTACGTATGCGTTAGTGTATGTCGATGATATCATCATTACAGGGACATCTGCTGAAGCTGTTGATCAGGTCATTCGTATGCTCAATATTCGTTTTTCACTCAAAGATTTGGGTGAGTTGTCTTATTTTCTGGGAATAGAAGTTAAGAGAATTGGCACTGGTTTGGTACTGAGTCAGCGAGCCTATATTTGTGAATTGTTGAAGAAAGCCAATATGAGTCAAGCAACGCCCGTTTGCACTCCAATGGTTGCTGTTGCGAAAGCTACTGATCACGATAGTGCGATGTTGGCTAATGCTCGGGAGTATCGCAACATTGTGGGGGCTCTCTTGTATGTGTGTCATACTCAACCGGATATTGCGTTTGCTGTCAATAAAGCTGCTCAGTACATGCAGTCCCCACGAGAAGTGTATTTGGTAGCAGTCAAACGTATCATGCGTTATTTGCCAGGATCACTGAATTATGGATTGGTATTTTCGAACAGTGATACTAGATTACATCTCAAAGCTTTTTCTGATGTCGATTGGGCTGGTGATGCAAGTGATCGTAGGTCCATGACGGGATACTGTGTCTTTCTTGGAGGATGTCTGGTTGCGTGGAACTCTAAGAAACAAAAGACAGTCTCGCAGTCGATAATGGAGGCTGAGTACAGGAGCGTTGCTGATTCAGCTGCAGAAGTTATCTGGCTTGCTGTGTTGCTTTGTGATCTTGGGTTCACCTTATCTGATGAACCTGTTATTTGGTGTGACAACACAAGTGCTTTTGCGTTGAGTGTCAATCCAGTATGTCATGCTAGATCCAAGCATGTTGAATTGGATGTTCATTTTGTCCGAGAGAAGATTGCAGCTGGTCATCTTCGAGTCAGTTATGTCCCTGCTGCGTTTCAAGTGGTCGATGGTCTAACCAAGCCACTGACCAGGCCAACATTTGAATAGTTTCGAGAAAAATTGCATGTTCTGTTGTGTTAAGGAAGGGAGAAGAAGAAACGGAGAGAATGTTGAGATACATGAGGTAGCTGAGTGTGTTGTGCGTATGGTAATGCATCACATGCATTGCGTGAAGGTTATAGGTAGTAAATGCTGTTAGTATACGTGGCAAGTATGTTAGGGAATGATTTTTAAAATAATTGTTAGTCTGTTGAAGTTTGTTAAGAATTGAATATAAGTAAGCAAGCTTAGGTGAAATGTAAATCAATCAAGATCAATATAATTTCTTCTGATATTTCTTCTTGCTTCAAGCATTGTCTACAACAATGTTTAACATATTATCTCCTTTGACGTCAATTCTGACATGACATCAACGCAAATTTGACTTATAGCTCAAATATTAATGTAATCTTTATGAGAAAATATTCTCGTGCAGATGCGTTTGGTCTTAATGTTAGAATAAAATCGTCATTTGTGATAGCTATAACCCTAACCTATTTCATCAGGATAGAAACATCCAGTTCTAGGGTTGATGCCACATACGGGACAAATGACGATAAGTTTGAAGAATAACCATTAATAGATGTTGATGGGGTTAAGACGCGTTTATTTGTTAGACCAAAACCCATTTTAGATGATATCAAAGGTAATAATATATACAATGAAGTCCTAACCAATATAGCATGTCATAAAACGAGAGTTACATAAGCTGTTCCAGCCTATCACCCTAGGAACTTACATCTCATATGCATCACATTAAGATAAACGAAACGAACCTACTATAACTTCTTAAATTATCTCATTTAAGATTCAAGCAATTCAACTCATTTGTCAATTCTGGTGAATTGTGTGTTGACATGAAATATTTAACTAAAGAACTTGCAATAGAAGGAATCAAGCATTACGACATATGTCACTTGATTGATTACCAAAAACCTTCGTATGTTTTATTCAACAATCTGTGAAGACACTCTCAATGGGAACACATAAAAAGAATCGCATGCACACTTAAGGAACCAGACGTTTTGGAACAAAGGATCAACATTTCCTCTTACCCTAATGCACTCAATTGCAGGGCCACCCTTGCTCTGCTTTTACTTAATATGATACCATGTTATTGATTTCATTTTGTTCTTGAAGAAATGGCAATTGGTGATAAACGATGGGTAAATTATCACATTCTATCTAGAGGGTGAGGGCAACACCGTGGTTGAACCAGACGGTGACCAGGCATAAATAAGCAACCCCAAGACCAGGATGATTGCTCCTGCTACAAAACCAGTTGGAAGCGATGACGCTACACCGAGATACGGCAGCGGCAATGTGAACACATAGACTGAAATAGGCACTGCAATTATATGAACGGATAGCAGATTATGTACTCTTGGGAAAATCATATTTCATCAAATTAACTTCTACCACTTAAACACTACAAAAAATGATCGGCATAGTATGTATATATGTGTGTTTGCATGCATGTTAAGAACATATTTAGATGAAATTAGTTACTTGAACCGGATGTTGAAAAGGATACAAAGATATACCAGAAAAAGTGGATGCAAGTGAAGAAACCACACCAGAAGAGATTTTGAGAAGATGTAGCAATGATATGTTGAAACCCATGTTGACAATAACAAATAGCAAGGGAAGTAGTGGTGCACCATCACATCCTACAGCCACCGAAATTTCAATGAAACTAAATCAATCACTCGCTCCATTCGAGACACAATCCAGTCACAGCATAGGGCAGTTATGTAAAAACAGAATGGTTACTCTCAATAGCAAGACAACTCTATACGTAACAAATAGAACTTCCACCCTTTCATAATGAGCAACACTATCCTTAATTTGAGCTCCTCAGTGCTATCCAGGCCCTCTACTAGTGCAAGAATCTAGTAAAATTTTCTATATGCGACTTAATTTATGGCTTACCACTGGATAAAGTGCCACTGATGTTCAAGAAGCAAGCTGCACCATCTTTAAGATAGTTTGGAAGCTGGCTAAATGGGATGCCCCAAAGTTTTGATAAAAAGGGTAGAAGTAGGAAAATGAACAGTGCCTGCACTAAACAATGTATAACCACATCAACGTACAAGAAAGATCCCACCACAGAAAAGGAACATTAAAGAGGAGACTGCAAATAAAAATTTCCACTTAACCTAAAGCTATACAGTACACAGTACTTACTTGAAATGCAGATCCATAGGAATTTACAACAAATAGATCTACTGAACCACACTGCAACAAATACGACAAAATGATCTTTAATACAATGAAGAAACTCAAATAAATATCTCTCAATTTCCTATGCTCAATTTGACCAACGAGATATAAGAAACTCTCCAACAGTAAACATTGTACCTTTAATCGCTTTGCAGCATCCAAAAAGATTACTTCCTGCAAATGATTAAAATACCACATTTTAGATGAATGCATTATACTAGAACTTGGGAATGACTAGATAGATGTCAATAAGAAAAGCAACAACCTTCAGAACAGTATCAGCTGCTTGCAATAAAAACGAAAATATCATCAATAAACTCCAAAATATGCTAGCTTCCTTCAATGAATAACCACTGCTGGACCCACTGCAGGTGTAAACACAGGCAATAAACCAAATTCTCAATATCTGGTATGGGAACAACCATTATCAGAAATTGTTACATTACGCATTATAAAAAGGTAGCTCCAGTGTCTCAAATCACCATGACTTAAACTAATAAAATTATTTCTGTATCATTTGAATTAAATCTAAATTATTCTGCAAGTGCAATATAGCTTTGCCTTTAAAATTAGAAGATTTGTATGGAAGATAACAGTAAACTGATGTAGTAGAGATTCTAAAAGAAAGACTATTGACAAGTTCATCTGGCCTGAATGGAGGAAGCAAGCAATCAACATTGACAATAACAGGAGAAAGTCATTTACAAAGCTGTAATGGTTGGACTGCAAGCTAAAACAGAGACATGCTACTTGCAAGGTGGCCATACAAGAAGATAATGGGAACGTTTATGTATCTCAGTTTTCACTTCTAAAATGGTTTTATTATTCTAATCATCTTACAGAGGCTTTGAAGGCTGAAGTTTTTATACAAATCTCTCTCCATGCAGCTAGACCAAGAAGAGCAGCTACTTTAAATGAGATTTACTGTCATAAAAATCCACTAGAAACAGCAATATCATAGGTTAAGTTTAGAGAACACAAATCAGATTCTATTTGCTAGTTTTTGGCCCTCCCTCGGTTTCAGAGCCCTCTACAAACCAGGTCGTTTGGAAGTCATCTAGAAGTTGCACCACCAAAATTCGTAAATGTAACAATAGAAGATTAGAACCCAAAACAGTCATAAGTTACCTTGCTACGGTTATAATTACACCAACAGCTACGAGAAAGCATCCAAGTAGTTGATTTACTCTATATCTCCTCCCAAGAAAGATCATGGACATGAAAATTTGCCACACAAGAGATGTCTGTTAAAGATATAGACAAAGTAGCTATTCAGTGCTTATACATTAGAATGGTTGCTGTCACAATCTCTAATGGGCTTGACAACAATCACCAAAATAAAAAAACTGTAATAAGAAACTTATCAAATAACTATAATTACATCACAACCCAAATAGAAAAGGCAATCTGCAGAATCATTCTGCATTTTTACATGTATAAATATATCTGGTTGCTTTTAAGACTATTTAAATTTATTTCTCTCAAAAGGCTTTCCATTTTCTATCTTCCGTTGTTTTTCCATGAAGGCATAAAGGTAGAATCAGCCTTCAAATCAAGAACTTTTGGCGACACCAGTACACACTGAAAAAGAAAATGGAAAAAAATTGACCTAACACAGACACTATGACAGTTATATTTAACATCGAACAATAGCAAAAAATGTTTCTTGCCTGAGATAAAATTGGAATAGAAGCCCCAGATAGAATTGCTGAACAAAGATTGAGAAAAATGTATTAGAAATAATATAATAATAACTATAAGTTCAATATAATACTCTTCCATTTCCTCCAATAAATTCATGTTTAATTCAACACAAAATGAGAAGATATTCATACAGGGTGGCAAAAACCTGAGAGCCACTCAACAAAAGGCATTTCACAAATATGCGAAGACTCAATAAAAACTGAAATTTGCTGACTAGAAGCAGGGAACAGAAACATTTATATAGAGGCCGTCAAGAGGCAAAAAGATCCCAAAGGGAAAGAGACCTAATAACAAATAGAAACAAAATAAAATAGATGACCCTCCCATAGTGAATGATTTTATATAGAGGCCTACTTTAGAATCATGACGCAAAGATGTCCTAAAATATCAGTGTGTGAAGGAGAAAACATTCAAAGACATCCAAGTATGAGCTAACCTCCAGCTGCCATTCCAGTCGCAGCGGCAAGAGCCTCCAAAAGGCCAACAGCAAGCAATGGAGCTTTTGGCACGGAAAGCATCTCGTCTGTAACTATACCAGCATGATATCGGAGATACAATATAGAAAAGTATACAAGTACATACCTGGAATACAAGAAATCAAGAGTGAGAGAGGTATTGACTGGAACAAAATTCCGAACCAAGAAGTACTTTTGCATGGAGTTAATGGTATCAACTGGTATCAAATTGCAGCAGCTTTAATTCATTTAGCATATAAGAAACAAGAAACTTTTGAGAAATGTACGTTTATAGCTATTAGCTACAATCATTTCTCTTTAATCAATTCGTTAACATTGTCAATTATCTAGGGCTTAAAGTTTTAACAACAACTTCAAAATTTAAAGAGTCAGTCTCTAACAATCATCAAACTATAAGGCTTTTCATATAATTTACTTAAACCATTTTCTATAATGGAAACCAAAGAGTGATCTTGCACAACCTTTTTTTTTATTCCCTCCTCACTATTTGTTTTTGACTAATTATTATTCCATCTATCATCTATAGATTTTTTTCATTTGACCACCACTTGTAAAGATCAAAATGACCTAATCATTTCCTTGTAAATTCTATTTTGTTCTTCTCAATTTGTGGATTCTTTTTTGTCCCATCAACTTCAATATTTACACAAAATAAGAAGACTAAGAATAAGAAAACTTTGAAGAATGCACAAAAGATGCCACAAAAAGAATACCTAACACTCATACTCAAATAATAGTCTTAAAAAGTCAGAGGTTGTCTTATGAAATTCACATATAAATATAAATCATATTAGTTTCACAATATCTTCTCAAGCTTAGACAACCAGCTAAAAGTAGTAAGAGTCGCTCTAACATATCCTTATGAACAAACCAAAGCCGTGCACAAGCAGGCTGCTGGTCAATCATGCAACCCTTTATCGCCCCACACGTGATAATATATTCTAAAGCTAAGTTCATCATTGCTCTTAAAAAGAATATTCCCTGATCAATTTAAGTGGTTATAATTAAAAGACCACATCTCAATGATTTACCAAGAGAGTCATTTAAGTCACTAATGATGTAACTGAAAAAGAATCATAGATTATATAATTTGACAATATGCCTTGAGCATTTAGTGAATATAAAAGAAGAAAAATTCATTACACAACTTGGTAAAGCAGCCCAAGCAGTATTCTTTTATCCAACCAAAAACTTCACACTATGATGTTTAATCATGATTAATAATTTACTATACGATTTTCTATTCAGCATTTCAATGTCCAAGTCCCATTTCCTCACATATATCTAAAATATCAAATATTATACTAAGACTATGTTTGTTAAATCATTGAAAAATTCTAACATGTAATATTTCAAATGTGTTTCATAATTATATTAATTGTTTACTTAGAGTAAAGCTTGAACAAAAAAGTATTCACTAAAATGGGTAGGTATATAGTCACTTATCAACTAATGTTGAGAAAGTTAAGTTATTTTTAAATATATATATATATAACTCTTTATAAAATAAATTATTATATTTAACTTTTAATCCAAAAAAATATAATATATTATATTAACAAAATTAAAGTTAAGAAATCAATTTAAAAAATTCACTTTGATTAAATAAAATATTTATATCCTATACTTATTTTTTATTAATTTATCAAATAATTTTTTAGTATATAAATTCAATAATTATAAATTTTACTAATATTAAAACTAACTTATCAATTTTTCTTTTTGATTCTTTATCATATATCTTTTGATGGGATCACGACTCTTTTTAGTTAGGGGGGTGGAAAGTAAGTCATAACCAAAGCAAAACGTGGACTTTGAAGGGCAGATGAATCGGGAACATTGATATGGGCACGGCACGCTTTACTATATGACAATCCATTATAGCTTTTGGCCACCTCACACCGAGCAGAAGCCAAAAGCAGCCTAGTTTGGCTATAGAATATTCGTTATATCCTCAGCTGTCATTATTGAAAGGTTCTTTTCCTAAGGCTGCTATATGAATAAAGTAAATCACAACAACAACGATACTAATAATAAATCAAAACAACTTGAAAAAAAAGTAGTGCTAAAAAGTCTAGCATATTTTCTAAGACAGTTTTTTTCTTCTTATTCTCATAACTTGCTAAACAGAGATATTTTCAGTGTGGCCAACAAATAGGAACAAAAAAAACAGGGGAGAAAGAGGCAAGAAAATAAATGTTCTTTTACATGCCACGAGAAAAGGGTAAATATAAGTTAGGAATTTCACAATGGAAACGACGAAGAAATGTAGTCGGATAAGGAGTTTATATAAAGAGGTAAATTTAACGAAAAAGTTATTAGATTATATAGATTAGGGTCAACTACATATTTAATCACTCATATATTCTCATGATTTTATTTTAGTCACCTAATTATTTTTTTAAATCATACACATAATAGCGTTTTGGTTATTTTTAATAAAGATGATCAAAACGAAATCAAAATACAATGTTAGGTATAATTTTAAAATAAAATTGAGTGGCTAAAACATAATCTCAAAAATAAATAAGTGACTAAATACATGTTTTAGTCTATAAATTATTAATATTTTTACATAATTCTTATACTAATAATTTGTATAATTTATAACATTTTATATAATTTACTTTAAATTTATCTTTTCCTAAAATTTCTAAGCGGAAGAAGCTTTTACGTTAGTAAAACTTTAAAAAGTAAAAATAAAAAGTGTGTATTCTCGGTACCCGAATGTGGCGAGCTGAGCCAGAAAAAATGGGTAATGCTTGAGAGGTACCAAAGCCAGCTTATATAGCACTCGATTCACTACTCCCAACACCACCGTCACCCCCGCTGCAATCACCACCTCCACCTTCCTATTCCTCTCTATCTCCGTCGTCCGATCTCCCACCCTTCGATCCCCCAATGAATACGAGCACGCGCCTGGCCCTTGTCCCACTCCCGCCTTCTTCGCGCCATCTCCGCCCTCCGGTCTTCCTACCGGCCCTACCGCCTCCACTCTCCAATACTTTCTCGACCTCAGAGCGATTCCTAGTGGCAGGTAATTGTCATTGTAAGGCGGCAGAGGGAAGGCAGGAACCTCGACGGTCGGTTTAAACTTCTGACATTGAGCCGGAACGTCGGGTATCGTTGGACCGGCCGTTAAACGCCGAAAATACAAAGCCATGTCGACTGATTTTCAAGTAAAACAATAAATTAAATGTGAAAGGAAAATATATTACTACACGATAAAGATTAATTTGGTGAGCTTCTGAAAGCTCTAATTTATTGTTGCCGCCGAGAGAGAGATACTAAAGAGAAAGAAGGGGAAATGTTGTTATGTAAAACCTTTTATAGCGGCTATGGAAATGACAAATCATTGTCGGAATTATAATTTAAAAAATTTAGAATCAAATCAAACTAAAATAAATATTTTAAATTTTAGAAAATCAAATCAAATTAAACTAATTTCACCTTTACATACATCAAATTTTTTAAGATAATGTAATTAGGCAACTAAGGATTTTTTTATAATTTTAATTTTTTATTTAATTTAAGAATTAAGAAAATAATATATAATTCAACATGTATGCATGTTGGGGTTGGAATGTGTGTATATTTATTTATTTATTTGATCTCTAGCTCCACTTGCTTTTATCTTATTAAATTATTTGCTTAATTAATCACTTGTTTTTTATTATAATAAAATAATAATTAAATAGATGGATTCGATCTAGCTTAAGCTTAAGCTTGATTTTAACTTTCTCAATCTGATAACGGTGAAAGGAAATAAAGTACATTTATTATTTAACGTCATCAAATATTAAAATTAATTTGATAACTTTGTACTCATTTACTTTTGACGTTAAATTCATTATTAGTTTAATGCATATTCAATAAAAACAAAATCAATCGGGGATCGATAAATCAAGATAAATAATTAAAAGTCAAAATGATACATTTTAAACAATTTAAGGGTCAATTTTGTATTTATGCCTTAACAGAGGGATGTGGAAATGCAAAACAATATATCTGCAAAGCGAAATCAATATAAACGGGTGAGACGATGATTTTATTACCAAATCGTAAAACCAATTTAAATTAAGTAATAATTTTAGATGATGTCATAAAAGATTGATAATTAAAAATAGTTTTTTTTATTTTATTTTTGAAAGATCAAAGTTGAATTGAATAGTTTGAAGCTTTGTAATCTGTTTAATCTATAATTTCTGGTTACGTAAGGGAATTCCATTACGGAAGGAATTCGTGTTCTTTTGCAGCAAGCATGGGAGGTGAAGCTCTCTCATATTTGAAGGGAAAATAACCAAATTGTTGATACTATGACAGTAATGAGCCGTGGTCAACTTGTGAGGGAAGTTCTTTTTGATGTAGCCCCATTTTCTCTTACAAATTTGATTGAACAAGATGAAGTACTAGATGATTCAAGTGTTTCTTTGTATGATAAAAAAAGTCCTTTAAGGTTTTAGAATACTGATATATCATAATTTGATATTTTTTAAAGGTAAAGTATATAAATATCTTTGAATTTTTAGGACACTTGTATTTTGATTATTCAACTTTTATAACTTATAATATAACCGTTGAATATTTAGTTCGTTTTTAGTAAGATTTATACTTACCACTTGCATTTGATCACTAAACTTTTAAAATTTATAATGCAGTCGCTGAACATTTAGTTTCTTCAGCACCCAACATTCTTCTTCCTCCTATGTGAGCCACCTCACCCACCACTTGAAAGCATCACAATCCTAAAACTTGCATTATCCTTGGGCTCTTGACTCAAAGCTTTCAGCCTCTCAATCACCTCATTTTCTCTCAAGCACCCAGGATTATCATTCTACACTTCTTTATCATTCTCATTTGGAATACTTTCAGACTCATTTAAAATTAAAGATTTCCAAATTTAATCCCTCTCTCCCTCTCTCCCTCTCTCCCTCTCTCTCCAGTTTGAAGAAGAATAAACAACTTCTTCCTGATATTTTCAATCAATCCCTTTTATGCATCATTGCGAGGATAAGATCCCTTATCAGCATCATCCTCAGATCCCGAAATACTTGAAACCTCGAAGTCTTTGTAAGAATCCATGGTCAACTCATTAAACTCTTCCTGCTTTACAGTATCCTTACCAGCAATGCTTAGTTTTACCTAAATTCAAATAAAACGGGGACCATTGCTTTAATTCAAATGTAACTTTTTCAGAGAAGTAAAAACAAAGCAAATTTAAAAGAAACATATGGGAAAATTTACATTGAAACGATGAATGTCGGATTTGAAGTGGGAGCGTTGGTCATGGAGAAAGTCAAACTCAGCCTTGCAGGTGTTGCAAGTTCGTTTTGGTGCTCTTTTCGTCCTTTTCATAGATGCTATCAGGGTATTCTGAAGAAGAATTTTCGGAAATTGAGAGGGGCTCGAAGGGTGAAGTTAAAGAATGAGAAAGTAAACGACACAAATTGAAGAAGTTGATAGGGAGTTCAAATATCAAACGATATCGATTTTTGTGTGAAGCTTTGGCGGAGGCAGAAGGAAGAGTTTCGGTCTCCATGACTGCCGTTTAGATCGAGTCCTTTGATTTACTTTGCTATGCTGCAGCGAAACGATTCACCCCGATGCGATGGGTTTATGCTATATTTTTTAATTGTCATGGGTTTATGCTGAAGAAGTTGAAGAAGAAGAATAAATTAACGGTGTTAACTGCCATGTCACGTAAAACTAACGGGATGTAATCGAATTAAAAGTTCAACGATTTTATTGCAAGTTTTAAAAGTTGAGTGACCAAAATGCAAGATACCTAAAAGTTTAGGAACTATTTGTATACTTTACCCATTTTTTAAAATATTGAGTCCGTATTGTACTGTTTGTTTTTTTACTCCGTATATTATATTGTTTTATTTCGGAGAGAGTATAATTCAAGATAATCCACCTAATTTCTATTAGGTGAGTGTAGTCAAATTGTGAGTCCATATATTATATTGTTTTTTATTATGTTTATATTGAAAAATATGTATATTGTGTATCGTTTCAACTGAATAGTCAAATAACAGTCTACAGTGAGGATTAAATTTCGATAAACTTTTGTGTTTTATCGATTATGTTATATATTGCTTTGATTGACGATCATATTAAACATGATACGATAAATATAATAAAATATTAAGAACTATAGTTAGATCCACTAGTTTGATGATAAAAACTATAAATTAAAAAAACACATGTATTTGTAAAAAAAAATATTAGTGGAAGCCTTCTCAGGGTTGTATCACCATTCATGGTGGCGGTTTTTGTTTAATGAGTTTCGAGTTTCCAGCGATAGGTGTTATTGTCAGAGACGAGCACGGGATGATATTGAGATGATGGAATCTCAAGCTATATGTCCTGCAACTAGCGCTGGAATTCGACTCGCCACATATTGAAGTTCAAAGTGATTTGGCAAACCTTGTTCATCAAAAAATTGTGTTTAAAAACATGTGTCCCGTTGCCGGCACTTGAATCCGGTTATCTCGGTTGAGAGCCGAGTATCCTAACCAACTACAACTAGACTACAACGGAGGCTTGAAAGAGCCAACTATTTTTGGTTAATATTTCTGTGTTTTGTCTCTTCTACTTCCCGACAAGCATTTGTTTCATTTTGGTTCGAGTTCCCAGACAAATGTTTGTTAATTTGTTATTCCTCATCCTGCTGCTCGCTCATTTGCTGTTCAACAACCCATCAGTGTCAGTGCTGGTCGTATATATATACTACAATCAGTCAAAAGTGCCAGAAACTGCGATCCCATCCGGAATTGATGTTACTGTATCATCTGATGCTTTGGCTTCTAGAACTACCTCAGCTTCACAAGTTGGGATGCAGAAGAATCTAGTTAACAGCACTCTTAGGCATCTTCCCCCACCAGGGTTTAGCCCTCTCCTCTAAAGCCATCGAGTGAATCTGTTTCTTCCTCAGATTTGGTAACCCCGTTGATGGATGATTATAGTTGCCTGGCTGTATATCTGTTGGCATCATCAATGAAAGGCTCTGGGCTTGATAGTTCTGTCAATTATGAATCTCATTAGATTCCCTGTATGTCAATAACATCAGCAAATTGGCTTGAATCTTTCCTTTCCCTGGAAAACAGGTTCCACCAGTTCAGTTCCAGATGGAAAAGCAGAAAACAATAGTCTTGTGCATAAAAGAATTTCAACTTGAACAGAAGCTGCAGCATCGTCAATTCATGAATGGAAAGTGGAAACCAGCAGTTTACCGCACAGCCTGAGCAGTTTCAAGAACAATCAGTCTGGACAGGTCATGTTGTGTGAGATCGATATGCAAGCATGCCTGGTAACTTTGCTTGATTGTCATTTTCTGCTTCTTGATTTGGATTTCATCATGATTGTTATTAAAATTCTTTTTAAACGGCATTTTGTTGATGAGAGTGCCCTGAAATAATTTACTTGGGTCATTTCCTAGTTGCTCTCTTTTGTTTGATTTTTGCATGCACGTGGTGATTCTGTTTGTAGGATCTATTCCAATTACTTTCTCCTTTTGTGTTTGTGCATAAGCACTTAGTGATTTTACCCTACATCATTTCTTAGTAACACTAATGCTTCTAAACCATTCTGTACTTCCGTATCAGACAATGCTTTCGCAGGGTGAGTCTGTTGGTTTGTATTTGGTGCGCATATTGATGCCTGTTCTGTCATGCAATGCTTGATGTGAAAAAAAATGCTTTTCACCTAATCTTATTTTTAGATGCAATAACTATATGATAAATATATGTCAATATTAGATCTTTTTTCAGCTTGATCAGATATATATCCATAAAAGTTTACTAAAGTGGCAATGGCTAAAAGAAAATGAACATTTTCTGCATTTCTTCTCTACCAAATAGGTGTGTAGACAAGCATTGCCATACTTGTTCCATATGTAGGTCTAGCCTTAAACAATAGAAATATTGCAAAAAGATTTTCATCTCCAACATTTGGTGTACCGTTTACAGTCACAAAACTTCACGAGAAAAAATCGATAAATAGACATCATTCTTTTATTAAACATGCATTTCATGTTTACTAAAAGAGTAAAAAAAGGAAACTTCCCTCGTTAACTTGTAAACATGCCCTTTTCTCTATGTATACTGGTGTCTCAGCTACCACTATTTTGCGCTGATAACACTCGTTGGAAGGAGATTGATATCAGCATTGGAATGGAAGCACAGACTAATATGATTATGTCTCGGCCACGACTTAAAGTGTGTCCCAATTGGGAATATTTGCCGTAGCCTCATTCACCATCTGTACAAGTCTCACCTGCAGATATTGCAAAGACCACATTTCAAACAGTTGCAGCTCAAAAAGTGCATGTCAAGAAACTATCTAATTTGCCGAGAAATTACGACTGTTTGATTAACCTGCAATAAGTGAGACATTGATTACAACTATTGCCTCCCAAACAGATGAACTTACCACACTTTCAGGAACACCTGGAGGGGGCAAAGAGAGATTCCTTGGAGGAGGCCCGCTAAGATGCGATCTCTTGTCAAAACGCCATTCTCCAATCTTTCCATATGTTAATTCTCCCTGTAATGCCAACTCAGAGTGAAGATATTGTAAGCAAAATTTCATCTTAAAGCGGTAAACAGCTATGAGTTTCTTTTATGGTTGTACTTGTACCTTTAAATTGTAGTCACATCCGTAAGTATAATGGAGTATAAACTTCTTCCCTATTTCCACATCCCACGGCGGCTGATAACAAACAGCGATCAGAGTTGAATATCAAATTGTAACTAAAGTTGATTGAGAGCCAAAAAAAACGGTTCATTGCATTATAATAAAACCTGGAGCATGAAGTCTTCACGAAGTATATGCCGAACATCATGTAGTGCTGATGCCACAGCATATGCATACCTATATTCCAATGGAATGATCACATGTGTCAAAAGGCCATATCAGCAAAAAAGAATACAATTAAAACAATTTAAAAAACAAAAAATGTTGCTGACATTTCAAGCACCCATCCAAATGCCTGATCGGTTGCTGGATCATCTTTCATCCTTAATGAAATATTCATCCATGTAGGTGAAATTTTCTCCAACTCAGACTGTTATGAAACAAGAAATTGTGATTTAAATTTGCACAAATATTAATGCGAAAGAAATTGAAAGGCGATTTATGCTCAGAGCAAACACGTCACACAAGCTATGGCGATCTTAAAGGGCTACCTTTCTAATAATCACTGGAGAATTGCCAATTGGATCAATGTTCATCAGAGGACCCTTCTCCTCAGGATAATACTTTCTAATAATAGTCTCGTGATCAGATGGCTTAATGTAAAAGAAAGGGAATCCTGCTGGATTTTTTCCATGAGCCAAGTTAGGCAAAGGATTTACGAATATATGGTCAGGTTCTGCCATTAGAATGTATCTGCATCAGTCATAATGCAGTAACTTTTCAGATAAATTAAAGGAAGTGCATACACCATGGATGGTTTTATTAGTTAACGAAAACTCACCCTTCGTCAATTGTTGCTTTTTCCAGCCATTGTACAAAAGCCCATGGTCTATTCAAGACAACATAACCCTGAAGATGGCATTGAGACAAAACAAGAAAATTTTAGCTAAAACAAGATGTTTTTAGTTCAGTTCATGTCTTGCAGTAATGCTGCGGATAATACACCGTAGAAGTATGATTCAAGTGAAAAACGATATGAACATCTTCGACTTGCAATGACACGTCATGGATAAGCTTGATCTATATCTTTAGGTTTGATTATATATATATATCAGTCTGGTTGCTTGTTCACTGAGTTACATGTTACAAAATACAAGGGGAAATGAAGAACTGAAATACTAAACAGCAAAAGACTCACCCGATCTAAACCATCCGGAAGAGGATCAACAACAAAAGTTGGAATCTCCTCCATCAAACTGTCAGGCTTCCCTGAATGCAAAATTCGAGTGAACTTTCCCATCTCTGATCCAGGCATATCTCTTACCTTCTTATACCAATAATACATAATCCGACACTGCCATTGGCTATAAGGAGCATCAGTTGCCGTGAGCGCAACATGGTACTTTGACTTCGAACCCCCAAATTCATTCAAATTCCTGGGCATTAGTAAAGGATCGTCCCACTCTTCTGAAGATGTCTTATAGTGTATTATCATAGTCAACAAATTATATGTAGCAAAGAAAAACCCCAGGACTAGAACTACCAAAAAGAGCGGCGAAATGCGCCTCATCTTTCACTACACAATACAAAAATACTGCTTTTCTCACAGTCACAGAGCTTAATTCAAATTATACGATCTAGAGCCACATTTGGAGAGAGAAAAATAAAAACAATTCCTTTTAAACGTGCTATACAGTATAGAATTGCAGCAAGTAAGAATACCCTTTCTGGCAAAATATCAAATAATTGATCATAAATCCCTCAGGAATCCATAAAAATGAATCTGCACCAATCCATTGCAAGCAGTAAGACATGAGTCAATGCTGCTTCAAAACGGCAATGATTAAAGCAGAAGGATGCAAAATAAAGACGATTCAATAAAAAAACAACAATATAAAAATCCGGGTATTGATCAGAATTCAGAATTGGAAAATATCAGATCTGATATTCCACTTTTTTAATTAAAAAGAAACCAAATCCAGAAATCAAATAATAACAGAAACCAAGATTTTTTTTTTCAAAATGAAAATAAAATGAGAAAAAAGAGATGAATGTAGTAGTAGTGCTGAATTTTACCGAGGAAAAGAAATACCTAAAATTTCTAGTGTTCAGAGTCAATGGAGAAAAACGCGGAAAGTTTTGGCAAGTTGGAAAAGAGTTGAATGCTTCTAAGATCTTGGGGTCTACTTGTTGGACGACTGCATTGGTTTTATGTTCTAAGATCTTTGCATTTGCCTACTGACTTGTCACTAGTCAATATTTGCTTTGGTTTTTATCATATGTAGGATTTGGTACATCACCTCTTTTAATTAAATTAAAAAGAGTAATCTAAGTATTTAGTCACTCAATTATTTTTACGGCACTGTTTTGATCACCAAAATATTAATTTTTTCAAACTTATAGCTAAAGTTAAGTTTTGATTCCATTTTAATCATATGCCGTTAAAAATATAATGACGATGCTTATGCGTCACCATAAGGTAGTTATACTTTATTGAAAAAAAATTATCACATAAATATATTTGTTTTAAATATAACAGATTATGATCGTATTTTCGATGAGTTTATTCATCACATCAATAACTTTCACCTTTTAACCATTTATGGGTATGTAAATTAAGTTGGATTTTATTACGTGTCTCGGGTAATTGGAGCTCGTAAACTACAACCAACACTTATTTTACCTTCATAAAAAGGTGGAGATACGAGATACACACATTTAGTCTCTCATATGATGCGTGTACAATCACTCTAAAGTATGTTTTACTCTAGTTAAGTCTCTCGATTAATGATCATGTTGTGATCGGTAGAAATGAGAATGATTTGGTTAGTCTGTGCTACTACTTGCTTAGAAAGATACCAAAAGAGTATAACGGCAACTGAATCATTTTTCATTGCTCGAAAAAGAAAATCAAAGGACTTATAAAAAGGCTATTCAGAATATGAGGCAAAGACCTTTATCCATACGTATATTTTGAAGATGATTGAGGTTTCTAATGTCAGACAAATCTCACCAAATCAGCAATGTGTACGCAAAGCGTTTGTATGTAATTTTAAATTCAGAATTTTGTCTTTATTAGAGGTGTTGAGAATGTCTAAGGTGGTTCATATGACTTAAAGTGTTGACATCGTAGGAACCCTCCGTGACTATTCGCATAGGTCATACGAATCACTTAGATGCACCTAACATTCTCTAATAAAGTATAGAAGATAAAATTTAAAAAGTTAAATAAAATTTTAAATTTTTTTAAAAAAAAATCAAATTCTGTTAGAATTCAAACCAGATTTTGTATTTGATGTCGGCATACCTAAAAGCTTCATAATATGACTTGGCAACAAATGAATGAAGTGCTTATCCATTAGAAGTACTTGATAATTAAGCAATTTGGAACCGTGGAAACAATTTGATGATTTTGCAAGGCACAAGGCAGCAGTTTAAACGTGGCATATGAAAGATTAAGATTAAGGCGGCAAAGCTTAACGTGGCAAATGGAAAAAGAATTAAATAGTCGGCATCAACAAAACTTGGCAGCAGTACATGCAAAGCTTATCAACTAAATTACAAAATTGAAGTAAAACACGACATGGAAATGCAACATACTTAGGCAGTTAAATTGCCTATGAAAAGACCTTGATAGTTTTAGTTTAGCATGTGAATGTGAGTAAAAGTGAGAAGAAAAAAATACGAGGGATAACTTAGCAAAGTTTGTGATAGTGGGGTTGTGTTTGTAAATTAGTCGCCTCTAGTTTTTTTTTATCATATTTATATTTAGTTCTTATCAATAATAGTGTGAGGTATAAATTATTGAGTGTCCACCTACACTTTCAACAAGTGGTATCTAAAGTTTGGTTCGAGTTTAACGTGATGGAGAAGATGATCAACATGATTCAACTACAAATCCCTAGATTAACAAAGAAAAACTATGGCAATTGGAGTATTCAAATGAAGGTGTTACTTGGTTCCCAAGATTGTTACGCCCGAACCAGAAAATGCATCAGCAGAAGCAATCTTGTTAAATGAAGAGAAAATGATACTAAAGGAAACTCGTAAAAAATAAAAGAGGGCATTGTTTTTTATTTTTTAAGGAGTATACTAATCTACCTTCGAAAATTTTTTGATGTTAAGATCGCAAAGCAAGCATTGGAGATTTTGCAAAAATCTCTCCAAGGTGCCAAAAAGCAAAACAAGTATGTTTACAATCTCTTAGAGCTGAGTTTGAAATGTTGAAAATGAAAAATATGGAAAACATCAATGATTACATTAGCCGTGTGAAAGTGGTAGTAAATGAAATGAAGATGAATGGTGAATCACTCGATGAAGTCAGAGTCATGAAATTTTTTGCGATCATTGACAAAAAAATTTGATTATGTGATCGTGGAAATCGAAGAATCGAAATATTCATCTCAAATATCAACCGTTGAGCTTGTGGGTTCACTTCAAGCCCATGAGCAGAATATGAAGCAAAACGAAGATTCTGAAAATTTGGAGCACGCTTTGCAAAGCAAAATGAACATTCGCAAAGGTAAAGATAGCAGCAACTGCACACGAGGCCAAGAAAATCGTGAAGGTTATCGTGGAAGATACAGAGGATGACGAGGAACTCGTGGTTGTGGTGGTCGGTCATATGGAACTGATCAAATAAGTAAAAACAATCAAGCATTAGGCCATGGACGAAGATTCAGAGGCCGAGGCAGATATCAACAAGAAAATAAATCACATGTACAATGTTATAATTGCAAAAAGTATGGACATTATAGTTATGAGTGCAGATTTGCTCCTAAACAAGAAGAAATAAATAACGTAGCAGCATCTGAAGAAGAAAAAAATGAAAAATCTCATGTATTACTCACTTATAAAGAAAATGAAGAATTCAAGAAAAATATTTGGTATCTTGATAATTATGCCAGCAACCATATGTGTGCTCGAAAGGAGCTGTTTGTGAAATTAGATGAAATAATCTATGGTCGGGTAACTTTCAGAGATGACTCGCACGTAGAAGTAAAAGGAAAATGCGAAATCATGATTACTCAGAAAAAAAAAAGTGAAAAGTACATTTCAAATGTTTATTATGTACCTGCTTTGAAAAACAATATCATCAGTCTTGATAAACTCTTGAAAAAAAGGATATGAAGTCCAAATGAAAAATCGCTCACTTGCCATCAAAAATAAAGAACGAGAATTGATAACCCAAGTTGATATGATTCGAAATCGTCTCTTTACAATTGATATTGAGTCAGAAAAAGTCAAGTGCATGAAGACCGCAATCAATGATGATTCATGGCTATGGCATCTACGATATGGACATCTTGAATTTTCTGGCTTAAAGCTGTTATTGAAAACAAGTATGGTGAAAGGATTATTAGAGATCAACCCTCTAAACCAATTATGTGAGACTTGCATTAAAGGAAAGCAACATAAACAAAACTTTAAAGTTAGTAGATCCTGGCGTGCCCGAAGACAATTGAAAATTATGCATACTTACATAGCCGACCCTTATGACATCCCATCACTTGGAGGTAACATGTACTACCTAACTTTTATTGATGATTTTAGCAGAAAGTGTTGGATTTATATCTTGAAAGAAAAATCAGAAGCCTTAAAAATTGAAAGAATTTAAAGCAATGACGTAAAAACAAATCAGTTAATATTTGAAGATACTTAGATCAGATAGAGGAGGTGAATATACATTAAATTTATTTAAAGACTTCTGTAAAGAGCATGACATTATCCATCAGGTCACAACTAGATATACACCCCAACAAAATGGTGTAGTTGAAAGAAAGAATCGCACAATCCTTGACATGGTAAGAAGCATGATAAAAGACAAGCACCTACCGAGAAATTTCTAGGCCGAAGTAGTACGATGTGCAGTTTACCTTTTGAACCAATGTTCAACAAAAAATGTTAAGTATATGACGTTAAATGAAGCATGAAACGGTCAAAAACCAAGAGTTTGACACATCAAGATTTTTGGGTGCATCGTATACGCCCACGTTCTTGAGCAAAGAAGAAAGAAACTTGATTACAGAGGAGAGAAATGTATTTTTATTAGCTTTGATGAAAGAAGTAAAGCCTATAGGTTATATAATCCTCTTACCAAAAAGGTAACAATTTCAAGAGATATCGAGTTCGATGAAGCAAAATATTGGAAATGAACCAGAGAAAAGAAAGTTGAAGGACTATTTTTAACGATGATAAAGATGATGATGATGATCTTATAAATCAAGATGAACAAAATGATTATCAAGGCCCTCAACAAAATACACCATCGTCATCAAACAGTAGCAACGGTGGTAGCAACATAATAAAAAATCCTAAAGTACGTCCCACAGAAGTTTGAAGATCTACAAGGGAGAGAATGATATCAAAAAAGTACAATGATTATGAATTACAAAATGTTTCACTTTTCTGCTTACTTGTGAATAGTGACCCAATAACACGAAGAAGCGATTGAAGATAAAAAATGGAAGGATGCAATGGATGAAGAAATTGCACCAATAGAAAGAAATGATACATGTGATCTAACAAGGCGACCAGAAGGTTATAACCCAATTGGAGTTAAATGGGTCTATAAGACTAAAACCAACAAAGAAAGAAAGATTGAGAAACACAAAGCAAGATTAATCGTCAAAGGCTACAAACAAAGATAAGGAATAGACTATGATGAAGTATTTGCTCCAGTGACAAGGATCGAGACCATCAAACTTCTCATGGTAGTTGCAGCACAAAATGAATGGAAGATTTATCAAATGGATGTGAAGTCAATATTTCTTAATGGCTACCTATAAGAAGAAGTTTATATTGAGCAACCACCTGGATGCATT